ATCTGTCTATATTTCTGAGATGAGGTATTATGTACACTATTTACATTATTCGGACTATTGTCCTCATCTTTGTCGCCATATTTATTACAGCTTTTGAGTGTAAGTTCAATACCTGGTGAAGGCGGTGGAGAACTTGGAAAGGGGAATTAACAGGAAATAACTGATAACTGGCATCCATTAGGCATGGTGCGTAGAACTAGAACAGTCTACCCCAGTGAGCAAAATAAAGGGTTCAGTTCGACATTCCAACCACCTGAAGAAGGCCGGACCGCACAACGGTCGAAAGGTTGTAATAAATATGGGACAAGGGACAAAAATTCCCCTCAGCCCCCGCAACCGTCGGTTGCGCTGGCCTCGTTGCGAGCACCGATCTCTCCCTCTGGTGCAATGGGAGGGCGCGGCCTCGGGCAGCTGTTCCCCAGGGCTGGGCACCTGTCAGTATAATTTTCCTTATTTACCCCTCTGTCCTTTGACAGAGGAGCCCCTGAGCGCACTCTGCCTAAAGACAGAGAGGCAACTGAGAGATGGTAAAGAAACGTGTTAGAAACTCCTCCAAACAGGAATTTACACACATGAAATGATTCACATTATTAAATAAACTGATAACAAAAGAAAATAAACAATTTCTAACTCTTATATTACTGGCATAACTTTATAATTAATTGCTTATTTTAAAAATAAATCCATATCAGTGAAATTAATTTGTATTCATGCAAACTCAGCTGAGAAAATGTAAATATCGAATTATAATTGCGTTTACTTTCTATAATCATTGTGGTCGTGTTAATTATGGCATTAATAACATTTTGGATAACCTAATATTTATTTCAAATTAAAAATTCATTATCATTTTGGTATAAAATAACACAAGGATTACATACAACTTTTATCTTTCAAATAAAATTGCTTTTACGGTAATTTTTAATTTAAACCTCGCTTCAGACTTTCTTCGTTTTTATTGTGGTTCCATGATCGACATGTGTTTAACCCTAGAACATTAACCATGGATATATAGTAACCAGCACAAATTTTCCTATTTTCAAAATCGGGTATGATATACCCATGGTTAGTAATGGTGTAATTGATGGTTAGTGTTCTTGGGTTAAAGTTAATAAGAAATTTCAACTGTCTTTGCCAGAAGTTAAGAACAGACTGAATAAAAAATGTTGACAGTAGAATGTACTATTATCGTACATTATCTTTGTTTTTAGCGGTATTTTGTGATTGTTGATGAAGTATAAGTAAATGGCCATTAGTGCACCAGGCTGTTTGCAACTGTTTAGATATAGAAGAGGAAGAAGAAGACGAAAGTAGGAGGGAATGTTGAAGAAGAAGAAAGGAGAGGGAGTGTTGAAGAAGAAGAAAGGAGGAGGGAAAGATGAAGAAGAAGAAGAAGAAGGAGAAGAAGACGAAAGTAGGAGGGAATGTTGAAGAAGAAGAAAGGAGAGGGAGTGTTGAAGAAGAAGAAAGGAGGAGGGAAAGATGAAGAAGAAGAAGAAGAAGAAGAAGAAGAAGACGAAAGTAGGAGGGAATATTGAAGAAGAAGAAAGAAGGAGGGAGTGTTGAAGAAGAAGAAAGGAGGAGGGACAGCGGAAGAAGAAGAAGAAGAAGAAGAAGAAGAAGAAGAATCAGTATTCGCAAGAGATCACGTGATGAAACGTAAACAAATCTATAGTCTCACTTTTAGCGGACGTATGTAGAAAAAAGTGTGATGCAGAATCGGTTTTCTTATTTCGTTTATTTTGAATTTCTAAGGATACAGTAAGTAACAACATTTCCAATAACATCATCT